AAGGCACCTTGGGGAGGATGTTCAATGGGGAAAATGGGGAGGAATGATTCCAAGCACAAGATGGAAAGAGGATAGTAAGTATGACACCTGCAGGGGAGATGAAGGTGCTCGGGGAGGAAGAACGACATCCGAGGACACCTGGACTTCCTGGTGGTTCTGAATGGGACAAGCCCGACAGGTGCTGCCCTGCGGGCCGGGGCACGTGGGAACCTGAGTGAGAAAAGGCCAATTCTCTCCACCGCGATCAGTTTCAGTTCCACAGGAGGATGCCACCCAGCGTATCGGTAGCATAACCAATAAGGAACTCGAGTTTAGATTCAGACACAAACAAGTGTTGGTAACGGGTTGGTGACGACAGTTTATCCAAATCCATAACCCACTAGGTCAGCACCATTTTCATTTGACCAACAATGGTTTCTCATCTGCCAGGCTGTCTAGGACGTATCATGATTGCCAAGTGAATGCTCCGATTATAAAAGAACTAGAGGCCCGGTGCACAAAATTCGTGCATGGGTAGGGTCCCTAGTGGCTGCCGGCTGCCGGCCCAAACCTCCCTTCGTTCCGCGCCGCCCCCTGGTGGTCAGCGCACGTCATAGTGAGCGAGCGAGCGAGCGAACGAACTCCCAGTCGGTCAAACTCCTGAGGGGACACTTTGCATAGTAGGCTTTTGTATATATAAATAGGACATTAAGGAAACATTGGGCCCCGGCGGGGTAGCTCAGTTGGTTAGAGCATCATCCTACACCAAGGATTAAGGAAACATTGGGCCCCGGCGGGGTAGCTCAGTTGGTTAGAGCATCATCCCTATACACCAAGGCCGCGGGTTCGACCCCTAGTCAGGGCACATGTAAGAATCAAGCAATGAATGCATAAATAAGTGGAACAACAAATCTCTCTCTCTCTCTCTCTCTCTCTCTCTCTCTCTCCCTCTCTCAAATCAATAAATAAAACAAATTTAGGGGAACATTGGATTCTAAGCAGAGCTTCTTACAGCTTATGTCCTCCTGACTTCAGGGCCCATTCACCTTCCCCCCAACAACCTCTGGAACGATTTGAGGAAAATAAACAGCCACTTCACAACTAAATAATTGCCTAAATTAAATCCACCTCTCGCTCTGCTGGAAAAATAATGCCGACTCCTGTTCTTTCCACATTTCTACAGAATTACAGACAATCCTCCATCTGCCGTGCTAATGGATCAATAAACAAAAGCCCTCCCTCTTGAGGAGCTTCTACTGCCTCTCTCAAGACAAACACACTGAAATAGGACAGTTAATTAGAGAAAGAATGGACTGATTCACTGTTCGCTCCCCTGCTGAAGCCAAGGGAGTGCTAGTGAGAAAGAAAACGTCCAATTGGGCAGCTGAATGGGGGAGGCGGACAGAGTGTAGTTCGAGACCTAGACGAACACAGGCCCATGCGCTGGAAGTCATGGAACTCTGCCTTCACATTTTTTAGAAAATATGCTTTTACTGATTTCTTTTAGAGAGAGAGGAAGGGAGAGGGATAGAGAGATAGAAGCACTGATGAGAGAGAAACATCATCGATTGGCTGCCTTCTGCACACCCTGTACCAGGGATCGAGCTCACAACCTGGGCATGTGCCCTGGCTGGGGATCCAACAGGGGACCTCCGGGTTCATAAGTCAACGCTCAACCATTGAGCAAAACCAACCAGACCACATTTATTTATTTGGGGCGGGGGGGGGGGGGGAGAATGCCATAAAATGTCAAGGGGTTCATCCTTTGGTGCCCGTCCATGGACCCCAGGTGTACAGAACCCCTGGCCTCACTTCTAGAATTTACTGCACAATGTCACTGCCCAGAGAGGTACATCTAAAAATGCTCTGTGACACATTCTTTGTAAGAGCCAACGATTGGAAACAACCTAAAGGGCCCTTGAGGGGGGACCCAATTAGGTAAGATCACGGCGAGTAACAAGATCTTAATGGGATGAATTGATGAGTGTCCCAGAAAACAAAGACCGAAGTGGGAAACACAAGGTCCGGACCAAGGGGCCGAGCAGGACTGTAACACACAGCATTCCTGGAAGGATGTAAAAGAAACTGGAAACGTGTTTGTGTCTGAGAGGGGAGCCTGGACCATAAGGAATGTGAAGCTGGAAGAAATACTACTTTTTAATTTTTAATCTAGGTTACTACTTTTTTAATTAAAAAAAAAACTGGTTGGAGATAGATTAATAGTCGAAGGGAGAGAGATGGAGAAGGGGACAGAGAGAGAGGTGGAGGGAGGGGGGGGGAGAGAGAAGAGAAGAAAGGAGAGAGAGAGGAGAGGAGAGGCTGATGGTTTTAGAAGGACTTCTGGTCTAGCTAAGTCCCAGAATAGCCCCAGCCTTGAGAACAGTGGATAATGTGAGACGTTTGGCACAGAGACATAAAGAGGCAAATATCTCGTAAAAGCTGCTCCTGGCTCGGGCGGCTGCTGGGCTGAGAGCAGCTGGGCCTTCTCTCCCACGGCCCACGGCGTGGGGCTCTGCGGGCTTCTCCTCCTGCCGAGCCGATCCTGGGACATAACGGCAATGCCAATATTATTTTTTAAAGGCTCCTGTTGTTCACTAAACACCCATTAAACCAATCTCCTTGCCCATTTGCAGCGAGCTTAAGGGCAAATCCAGATGGCACACATAATGCACACTCGGGCCTGAGCTGCAGGAGGCCGGTCATCAAACAGCCATTCTCCGGCTTAGAGGCCTCCACTGCCTGACACCCCCGCGTGTGTCCAGGTGAGAAGAGACCTTTCCAGAGATGGCTGGGCTCGCTCCCTCTTGGCAAACCATCTTCCAACTCCCCCTCCCTCCCCCGAAGCCACCCCCTGCTCCAGGGCTGCATTTGATTTTGTATCTAAACAGTTAGCAACAGCAGCTGAGGGTTGCCTGGTAACCTGGGAAGGCGCTTTGTCTAGGTGTCCCTGAGCAGAGGACAGACTGCCTGGCCCTCCCACACGGCCCTGGTGGCCACGCCGATCCCGCAGTCCCAGGAAACACTCCTGCAGAGGCAGCTCCCACTGGCCCTCTATTCCCATGGCGCCCCGGAAAGGGTCCGTGGGAGGGATACCCGTTTACCTATTCTGATGGCCAGGCATTCCCCCTCTGGCCTTCGGATAAAGAAAAACAAAAGGAACAGAACACAATCTATTGGCTGAGTTTTTCATCCTCGAGCAGGCTCGGAACCAGGGCCGGAGCCTCCCAGGGGGCACACAGGATGGCTAGCCCGGTACAGCCGCTGAGGAGGGACAGGAAGCCCTCGGGCCCTGCGTTCACACCACTCGCCGTGAAAAACGCACGCTTTCCTGGAGCCCACTGGCCCGTCTGTCACCAGACGGTTCTGGGTGCTCCAAGACAAGAACAACAGACGGCACCCAAGTCGTTCTGATCGGAGCCTGAAAGCACGTGTGATGGGAGGCAGGGGCAGGTTTCTCACGCTGAGCCTCTCACTTGAGTGCACGTGAGAGGAATTTTTATTTCCTGGTTATTTCCTGGGAGGCAGTGAGGATCGGCCCACGAGGAGAACATACTCCAGTTCTCCGTGAATAATTCATGCAGGATGCAAACTGAACACAGATCCGTGAGGACCGGCTGCGGCATCGCTGTAACTTTTTTGCACGCGGCCTGTCCCCTAGGTTTAGAGGTCGCCCGAGCCTGCACATGATGAAAACATCACATCGCAATGACTGCACGGAAAGGCGGAGAGACCTTTCTCCCCGAAGTCCCTAGTGTGAAGACGGTGCCTGGTCACCCAGCTGCTCCTCCCTAGTCCACTCCGGGGAACCCCGTGCAAGGGGAGGCGCCCATTCCCAGCATCATCTGCATGGTTTCAAGTCCCGAGTCCACGGTCCACGGGAGAGTGGGGAGGGCGAGGGACGCCTGGGGCTTACAGGTTAAACGCGGGACTTAAATTCAAAGGGAAAGAAAGGCACCTACCTCTCCTCACACTGATTGGCCCTCCTGGCTCGGGCGGCTGCTGGGCTGAGAGCAGCTGGGCCTTCTCTCCCACGGCCCACGGCGTGGGGCTCTGCGGGCTTCTCCTCCTGCCGAGCCGATCCTGGGACATAACGGCAATGCCAATATTATTTTTTAAAGGCTCCTGTTGTTCACTAAACACCCATTAAACCAATCTCCTTGCCCATTTGCAGCGAGCTTAAGGGCAAATCCAGATGGCACACATAATGCACACTCGGGCCTGAGCTGCAGGAGGCCGGTCATCAAACAGCCATTCTCCGGCTTAGAGGCCTCCACTGCCTGACACCCCCGCGTGTGTCCAGGTGAGAAGAGACCTTTCCAGAGATGGCTGGGCTCGCTCCCTCTTGGCAAACCATCTTCCAACTCCCCCTCCCTCCCCCGAAGCCACCCCCTGCTCCAGGGCTGCATTTGATTTTGTATCTAAACAGTTAGCAACAGCAGCTGAGGGTTGCCTGGTAACCTGGGAAGGCGCTTTGTCTAGGTGTCCCTGAGCAGAGGACAGACTGCCTGGCCCTCCCACACGGCCCTGGTGGCCACGCCGATCCCGCAGTCCCAGGAAACACTCCTGCAGAGGCAGCTCCCACTGGCCCTCTATTCCCATGGCGCCCCGGAAAGGGTCCGTGGGAGGGATACCCGTTTACCTATTCTGATGGCCAGGCATTCCCCCTCTGGCCTTCGGATAAAGAAAAACAAAAGGAACAGAACACAATCTATTGGCTGAGTTTTTCATCCTCGAGCAGGCTCGGAACCAGGGCCGGAGCCTCCCAGGGGGCACACAGGATGGCTGTCTCAGCTGGAAAGACAACCAAAAGGCACGGTGACCTCCCGTGCAGCAAGCAGGTGGTTTGGAGAATAAGTGAGACAGGAAGGCTGGGGCCGGATGCCGGTCCAACCCTGTGCATGGTGGGGTGAGTCACGTGGAGGCGTGGGCCCGAGGCCCTGGCACTTCCCACCATTTCTCCTGCCCCCAGGCCCCGGTCTGTCCTGCCTCGCTCAGCCCGGGGTCTGCAGCGGGGAGCTTGCCTGGAAGGAGCCCAGCGCCACCGATCCGGATGGACAGTTCGCTCGCAGGGAGGAGCAGCCTGGGGCTCTCGGCATCAGACTTCTTCATCCACGCGGGGTCCAAGTTCAGGGCCAGGGCCGTGTGGGGGTCTTCCGCCGCGCCCTGAAACAAGAAGCAGTGGCTGTGACACCTCTCCGAGCTTCATTCCCCACACCCCTCCCGCTCAGAGCTGCCCGAGCAGCCTGCCAATCTCCACCGACAGCGCAGGGTCACCGGGCCAGGCCCCGGGCCAGACCCAGCTGTCGGCAGGCGGGTCATTAGGAGGAGGACGAGCTTTCTGGTTGTAGAACTTTTGGGGTGACAGAAGCAGGATGTGAGGGGTCCATGCCGAGCCTAGAAAGGGGCAGTAAACAGCAAAATCCCAGCCCGCCGGGTAAAGGGCGCCGCCGGCTCAGCCCAGGCTCTGCCCAGGAAGCCCATTCGGCAGGCTCGCTTGGATGGTCAAGGTCACCACTTTCCAGACGTTCGCCATCCTCACGTTTCTCACGCGCTCAGAGGGGAAAGCAGTCCGAACTACAGCCCTGGCAGGAGGGGAACGGAGGGCACCGCGGAGGTGCCGGCCTCTGAGAGGCGAGTCCCGTGGCCGAGAGCAACCAAGTCACCCTGATGTTTTGTCCGTCACCAACTAATTCGACTGTTTGTGCATTAACCAGGCAAAGTCCTCATTTCAGTCCCCACATTTACTCAACAAATACTGACCACCAATTCTGTGGATACTTGGCGAACAAAACAAGACCAAGTCCCAGCTCTTAGGTTCCAGTTAAGAGCAAACAGATGGCCCTGGCCGGGTGGCTCAGTTGGTTAGAGCATCATCCCTATAGGCCAAGGTTGCAGGTTCGATCCCTGGTCAGGGCACATACAAGAAGTAACCAATGAATGTGTCAAAAAGTGCGACAATAAATCGATCTCTCTCTCTCTCTCTCTCTCAAATCAATAAATAAAAAATAAAAGAAGAGCAAACAGATGAATCCACAATGAGCTTCTACTCCCACAGCATCGGCCGGAACCCCCCCGGCCCTGCTGACAGCTTACAAATGCACAGGATCTCGAGGGGAGCGAGGAAGAGGGGTGACCCCACCAACACACACACCTCCGCTTTCACCCAAACAGAAGGCAAGTGGAATCATCTCAATGAGCTTACAAACAGTAGATATTTATTGAAAACCAGGCAATAATAGCTCCAAACAAGCCGAAGTTTCCCTTTAAAAACATGTCTCTCTACTATGGGAGAGGAGGGGGGTGCTGATCCAGTCCCTGAGTGCAGCCATTCATGAGCAAACGCTGGAACCGTTTTCTCGGGTACGTTTCTGTCATGACAGAATCTCACGAAAATGATGCTCGGCCGTGTCTTACACACACACACACACACACACACACACACAGGGACCAGAAAGAGAATCGAGTGATTCAGACATTTTATTTCATCCTTTCTTTCCAACGAACTGTTACCAACGAAAACATCAACCCCCCTCCGTCTACATCTTCTTCGTCCCACACATCGACATCACCCCCATCGTTTATTTGCAACGTCCTCTGTAATGCATAGAAGGGTGCCGACACCTCATTTAAGCTTGTTTTAAGGGGGTGGGGGGGAGCCTCGTAGCTCCGGGTCCTTCTGTAGAATCCTAGGGGCTGCAGGATGTCACCTGCTCTGTCCCCGGGAGAAGCACAAAGGGACAGCCTGCCACACTGTGCGACACTCAAGGCTGACGCCACAGATGGACGGAATCCTGGGGACAGAAGGGACGTGAGGAAGGCCGGTCTCCCCCTGCAGGCACCCCCTCCCCACCGAGTGACAGCTGGCGCCGGTGCCATGTGCCATAGAGCCGCAGCTCTTTGTTTATGGGTTTAATTATTTCTAATCCTACATCTCATGCTGACATCGGAGGGATCGTGGCGGCAATAAAAGACGTGCCTCTCAAGGGAGGGGGGGGTGTCAGCTGACCTTGTTGTGTCTTCCTTCTGTTTAGAAGGTGATGGATGCGTGGCTGGGAGGAGGCTGCGGGAAGAGAACCACTTCGTTACGGTGAGGCGAGGCCAGCGGCACGAATGCGCGCAAGGCTGCTTATGAAAAAGTGGCCTGGAGAGACACTGTTTTAATTGAGAACAGTGCTTTTCCAGGAGGCGACTTTGCCCCCACCCCGCCACCACCTGGGGGCATTTGGCAATGGGCATCTTTGTATGTGGGGGAGGGAGAGAGGAGTGGGGCTGGCACCCTACAGGGCACAAGGCCAGCCCCACAACAAATGACCCGGCCAAGAAGCCAAGCGTCAACAGTGCTGAGGTTGAGAAGGATTTAGGACGCTCAGGACCCCAAAGCTCCCTGGTTACTGGTAACCCTGGCCACCCACAGACCCTCTTTGTACTATAAGGATATGATGTTTGCCACTTCCCCCAGGAAGCCTGCCTGCCTGTGTTTGGAAAATTCTTAGTAAGCATCAGAACCAGGCCAGGGCAAACGTGCGACAAATGCAAGCTTTCCTGACTTTCCCTGCAGCCCTGAGAGCCTGTGTGGCTGCCCCTCAGCCGGGCAATGAGTCACTTTCTGCCCCCACTCCCACCCCCACCCTATGAGTTGAGGTGGGCTCCTAGGGCTTTAGATGGTTCAGGGTGGCTGAGTCACCTTGCAGCTCCAAATGTCAAAGTGCCAAATGTACAGGCTCCTTCCCATGCTATAGGTCTCCAGGTCCTGCACCACCCCCTCCCCCACCCACTCCTCCCCCTGCCC